TATCCCTTGGTGAAGTCTAGGATAGAGATGAACTGGGCATATCCCAGTTTTCCAATAGCTCATCTCTGCGTGGCATATTTGTTGTATGGGTCTTCCCCAGAGGTGGACATCTTGCCCTGATCTGCGGCTATTTTAACCTCAATGTGTCACTTAGGGAAGATTGGTTGCTCTGGGGTAACTTTGACTGAATACAAATGCATTCACTGAGCTGCTTCTCTGCCCTGCTGTAGCCTAATTATCCACTTGTCCCAAAAGCTAGGAAAAAAAACCTGTTTGGTTTGAACTTCCTGGCTATTCAGGTTTAATATTTGGTGTGCTTCTTCTCCAGCAAAAGAAAAAACAATCCTCAAACTTCCAAATAGCAAAAGAGAGAAAAAAGTGTTCTTTTAAAGTTCTGAGGTCTGTCTTCCTGGTTCAAAATGATCCCACCACCAGAGGCAATCCAAGGGCCTACCTCACAGGGAGGAGACCTCTTCACCCCATGGGAAGCCATAGACACCTCTAGAAATCCACCTTGCTCCAATGAAAGTCAGATAGGTGATGTTTTAAATGTAATGGGGCAGTTTCCTTTCACATTCCCTAGCTCAAGTGCACCAACGAGTACAGGTCATTATAATAGGGTCACTCCAAGAGTCCTCAGGCCTAAATGCCTCTCAGATACCCCCAGAGTGAAGGGAAACCGTGAGTGTGGTGGGAAGAAGTTTATTACGTGGAGATACACTAAAGCACAGGTGTCTGCAATCCACCGGTCCATAGTGGACACTAAACTCATCAACCCAAAGGCTCTAGTAACTGTCAACCCTTCAAGACAGACTCTTTTGATCGGTCTACAGCCAAGTTACCTGTTATGTACAAGGGCTGGTCAGGAATTTGGAGTTTTGCAGTCTGTGATGATTATCCCTTTCCTATGCTGATGGGAGGGGACTTAGCCAACCATGTGAGACCAGCTAAGAAGGTGGGAATGGTCACCCACAACATGTCTAAGCAGGCCTCCACACCTGACCCTGTTCTTGAGTTTTGTGCAGGGCCCAGTCTATGTCCCCAGACACGCCAGGGTCAGAGACCCAGATAGAGATGGCAGAACCAGACCCCAGACAAGCATCTAAAACAGCAGGCAGATATATCTTCCAATTCAAATCTCAATACCTTCTCCAATTGGCTCTCCTCACTCCCTGCCAAAACCCCTTAGCTACCTGAGTTTAACCCTTTAGTCGCTGAATGCTAGGATGTTCAGAAAAGGACAGCACTCTTCCTATCCATCACAAGAACACTTTGACAGATCAGTGAAATTACTTCAGCACTACTAAAATTTTCTCATCGTTGGCCCTAGGCCAACAATGAGCTCGAGGAGAGGTTAAACGAGACACAGTAGTACTACTCTGTAGGCAGCAATCTCATCTCTCAGTACCTACATGTAAGGTAAGTAACAACTGTATCACAGCATCTTGACCCATAACCCACTATCCTACCCATTCCAGAAGCATCCACTAGCAATTCTGGGGCACATATAAAAGATAATTTTAAAGATTAAAGGGAAAGTATCTCAGTTACTATGAATATGTTTAAATAGAAGTATGTGAGTATCATGAGCTTTGAGTCTCTGTGATATCTATCACATTTATCTAGATAGCTGGATTTTTATATTCTATTCATCACTAATGTCTTGCATTAAGGACCTGATCTACTGAAGACAACACCACTTTTTCTACTGACTTCAGTGAAAGTTTCATTGCATCTTAACCAAGGCTGAATTAATCCAAATGATTTTTTTTTTGCCTCTATGGTACAGACTTTAGCCTCCTGACAACTAGCTTCTGCCACCAAGATTTTTACAATTTCTCAATTTCTTTTTAGGCTATGTCTACACTATGAGGGTTTGGCGACAGAAGTGTTGTCAACATGCAAAAGTCAGCAACATTGAAAACCAGTCAAACTGTTTTTTCTGCCTCCCATTGTTGACATTTCATGGCCACACTGCTAGCACTCTGTCGACAGACAGAGCAAAGCAATGTGGGTCAGCATCCCACAGGGTAGTGTTGTGGGAAGGCAGAGCTGATCCATGTGCTTCTTGGGATTCCCTCCAAATTCTCCCACAGTATTCTCAGCTGCTGGGAGCATCATCATGAGTAGCTTTGTGAGCTCTCTGTGCTGAGGAATGTCAAAGCAGCACAGCAGTCTCTCCAGGGTTCCGTTTGTAGCAGCAGTCTGCCTGCTTCTGTGTTTCTAGCAGGGCAGAAAGGGAATATTCCAATGATTTGCTCTTTTTGTTTGTTCCTCAAATGGAGCGGCTCACTCAGCTGTCAGATACTTTCCTGAGCTTTGAAAGGAGAGAGATGCACGCCTGCAGGGCAGCACAGACCACAAAACTCTCATAGAAATCACAAAATACTGAGCACAGACATCAGGGCAAGTATTGTGGGATACTGGGGAAAGCCAGTTTGCTCAAGAAAACAAATAACAGAGTCCATACTGGCTCTTTGTCAACAATAAAGGGAGGGGAAAAGACAAAAGTCTCTAAAAGAGGTGGAATTTTATTTGGTGACTAAACTATGTGTTATTCCCAATAAAATTTGCATTGTAGTGTCTATACTCTCACTGTTTTTTCAAGAAGAGGCAGTTTTTGGTGACAAAACATGTCAGTGTAGACAAGGCCTTATAGGAAAGAGGTATCAATAAATCTCACATCCATGATTATCAAAGAACATTTAATTCCTTGGGGTTTAAAACAATTTTAGAATTTAAAATAGTAAAACCCAACATGTTTATAGCTATATAATTCAAAAGCATAATATAATGATGTATTGCCTGGTTGTTTTGCATTTATTTGCTTTTTTTATTTATGTTTTAGTACACTTTGGCTTTTGTTATTATAATTTCTTCATCTTCTAAGAAATACCTCTGTTTGTTTATTTATATGTCACAACTGTATCTTTGCAACTGTAATATTGTCCTTGTCAGGTTAAAAATAACTGGATAACTCTGTACATATTTATTGTAAAATAAATATAAAGAGGAAATAATATAATAAAGGAAAAACATGATGTCTCATTAGACTTCTGAAAGGACACAGACTCCTAGAACAATAAACCTGCTTATTTCCCCCCCGCCCTTTTCTGACAAGAGATATTTCTCTATTATCTTTGTATTATGTTTCTTCTTAGATCCTAGTCACAACATTTATCTTAGTGTTATGGCTCTTCCTGCTTTTTCAAATGCTTGCCTCCAGGGGTACTGAAGCTACTAAAATACAATGTATTTGGTGGCTCTGCATTAAAAATCACTTCTTTCTCCTGACAAACAATTTAAAACATCACATTTGTGCCTTGTAAATTGAGCTTTTTAACTATATATAGAGAGACCTAGATCCATCTGACCCAAATTTATTTTTCTGCAAGGATTGCTGTTTCCACTTGGGGACATTATTTTTAAATATCTATGATGGAGATACTTCCAAAATGTTATTGTTGACTTTTCATTCATTTTTAAAATATGCCATAGAGAAAATAAGAACAAGTCATAAAAAGGACAACTTAACACTGGATATATCAGAGATAATGGTATAATTATTTCTCAAATGCTTGTTAGGGAAAAAAAGAATGATGAAAAGACCATACCACATACAGATGTAGCCTATTTGTCTATAATACTTTGTATTTTGAGGCAGCCTGCAGAATGTATTGTTTGCAGATTGTTATGGCACCAATTCTTCTTCTTCTTCTTCTTCTTCTTTTCCTACATATATAAACTATATGGGGAAAGACTCTTAGGATTTGCAATTGTCTTACCATTGTTCTAATAGCATCTGTCTCAGTAAAATGTTAAGGATTCAAAACAGGTGCCTGGTAAAGAGGGGAGAAGCTGAGATACTCAATCACTGGGATGATGGGGGCAACATAAGGGCCTAGATAGCTAGTACAGACATACATTTTGTGTTGTGCCTCGTATACCATGTGTGACTTTGCATTGAAGCAAGCTGTACAGGACCAGTTTTGTCTGTACATCTTGGATCTTAGTTTAAATTACAGTATATTATTATAACATTTGACCACCACCCCAAACAATGACTGATTAGAAGAGACAAAAAAAAAAAAAAAATCAAGCACACTTGATTTAATCATCTAGTTGCATCTGGTAAACATAATCCTACTTCACACACACATAGGAACTTAATCCTGTTAAAAAAAGAAAAACCACCACCTGAACACCTGTAAAGTGCTGTACAATCAATGACAGTGCCGGGCATTTAACACCCCCTGACGATCAAGCCCTATGTTAGCCCAACACAGATTTTTTGAAAGATACTATACTAAAGTGCATGAATTTCTACTTTAAAATATGCATGCTCATTGATCAGAAATAGGCAAAAATGTCATACACTTATTACAGAGAAAAGAGAGTGGATTAAAATAGGTGACCTTTAGAAATCATCTGGAAAAAAAAATCTACTGTTTGTTAGAAGAGTGTGCCCAAGGGAGTTCCAGACTGGGTTCCACTTAATAATTTAAATAACTAGCTTAGAAAAAATGTGGGATTTGGTTGGTTGGTTTGTTTTTTTAAACAGGAAAATATATTTCTTTGGAATAATTTCTAAGTCTTTTTTAACTTGACCTATTAAAATGTTCAGATCGTTGGCCTGATGGCAATGCTTTATTCTGTCACAAAAAATACCTCATCTGAAGCCAACCAAAGGTTGCTCACTTTATGGGTTGGTGCCGCACAGATGTGTCATTGACTTGACACACTTGGTCTCTCAGGGTTAGAGAGAGTGACAGGTAATTGCTACATCAGAGCAGTGTGTGCTGGCTAATTCAAAGTGGCACTGGTGATACTCTTGAAAGCTCACCCATTCTGTAAACTGGATAAAGGGCATCAACAGTTTTCTAAAAGAAAAAAAAGTGATGTTATATAAGAAAATGGTCGTGTCGTTAAAGTGCAAGATTCTTAATCCAAATCTGCACAGATGTGCAATGAGTGCGAAATATGAAGATGGAAAAGTTTACCTGGAATGAATTGTAAGGAGAGAACACAGGAGAAGCACGTGAAGTTAGTGATACACTAGCTTCACCAAAGTTTTCATCTGAAGAAAAATGCGTTGCTATAAGAGATAAGGAAATATTTTCTGACATTAACTGTATAATATTTTAGTTAACAAATTTAGTTAACTACATCTCTCTCCCCTTAATAAAATTCTTCCACTGCCCCATATTTTGTATATATCTACTCTTCAAGATAGGACCCAATTTCAAAGGCAGAAGGGACAAAATACTAAAAAGAAAAATGGTTTTCATGAAAAATCTTGTACAATTTTGTAGACCTAGAAGGTCTGACTAAACATCTAACTTCAGGGTGGGACCCTGAAACAAAGCTAAATTCTGTAAGGCATGAGTATACAGTTAAAGGCACAGGGTCTGCTTCTGCTCATAAGTGTAATTCAGAAGTAACTCCAGCAAAGTCAGTAGACTTTCACTGAGGTAACTGCACACTAAAGTGAATAGGTCCATTTTCTGATCCTTGGCACACATGTTTTACCAGACAATGTCATAAAGAAATGCTATTTTTGAAACAGAGTGCAATGAGTTCTTGTTATATTTTCCAAGTTAAAGATTTAAAATTAGATTTACTGTAACCAAATAGTAAAAGTGTTGACTATTTTAGTAGCATTTTAGTTACAAATACAATAATCATTAGCAAGCTAAATATTCACGTTTTCTTCTGAAAGGCTATGAAAAGGCTTTTAGCTTTTGCTGGATAACGAGCACCCCAGTTAAATGACTGAAATGCTGCTTTAAATGAAAGTGCTTTTCCAACAAGCTTGTTGGAAATATAATCTGTGAAATGCTTTGGTCATAATAATCCTTAACATGCACACTAAAACTATGCTGCTCCCATTTGGGCAAAAGTCTTTTTCCGGAAAACGGTTCTGGAAAAGGTCCAGTGTAGACAGCACAGTAGTGTTTTCCGCAAAAAAGCCCCGATCGCGAAAATGACGATCGGGGCTTTTTTGCGGAAAAGCACGTCTAGATTGGCCACAGACGTTTTTCCGGAAAAAGTGCTTTTCTGGAAAAGTGTCCTGCCAATCTCGACACGCTTTTCCGAAAATGCTTTTAATGGAAAACTTTTCTGTTAAAAGCATTTCCGGAAAATCATGCCAGTGTAGACGTAGCCTATGGGTGGAATCTGCAAGTCTTTGGAAAATCATCCTTATATATGATTCCTAAGCAAGAATGTTAAAAAGTATCTTCATATGAGAACTGAAGGTGCATCTGGGTTTGCTCTTGCCTTTAAATACTGTAATAACCAAAATAAAAGGGCATATGGGTTTAGAGAGCCATAGATGTGATGTAATGAAATGTGATGCTTTTCTTTTTATCTACATCAATGTCTTTCATGGAAATAGAACAAACCCCATCATGTCAAAACTTGTTTATAGTTAGCCCTTGCAAAAGACCAGAAGGGAAATCGCTGCTGTTGCATGTGAGCACACAAATCAGCAACTCTATAAGGAACGTTTACTCTCAGAGTTAGAGTAATTTTCCATGCAGAATAATAGGGTGCGTTTTTTTCTTAAATTTTTGGATGGCTATTTTGACTCCTTTTTTATACTAATTATGTTGAAGAGACCTTGATTATCTATGAAACAAAGTTCAACACAGATATCTATAGTATGAGCTAAATGTATGCTAACAAATCCCCTCCCGGCCCTGGTCAAGACAAAGTACCCTACTTGGGGACAAAAAACACATGTCTCAGTAAATATTTCTTCACTACTACAAGGACTGAGAAATGGGCTAATGTGGCAGACCAAACTAATTGTCAGTGCCTATACATACCTCCGAAGCCAACTCTATTACCAAGAACACAACTGTTACATGGTGACACCAAGCTCAGATATAGTGCCTGTGGTTTGTAAGGTGGGGCTTGTTTGTAGACCATATTGGCAGCCAGTCAAGATTTTTAGAGCTTTCGATACATTTCCCACAATCATTTTTCAGTTTCATATTCTTCCATTTATGAAGGAAGAATGGAAGAAAGGACTTTTCATTAGCTCCATCCATGAAAAACTGATGGGATAAGCAGGAATCTTGGAGATGATAGAAATGTTCTTGTTTTAGGGTGTGGGGGAGGTTAAGAAAATTTCTAACAAGTGTGTCTGAATATTTAAAATATGAAAACTATTAATGATACTGAAAATAATGGCAGCTGATAAACTATTATATGGATATTTGAGGCCTGCTAAAATGATATTATTGCTATTCACAACACTGTAAGCTAAAAAATAAGACATGTGATGGCATTTTAAAAACTATCTAGGAGATATACATATGAAAACAAGATATGAAACTATAAAATCAATTACCTTTCCATAATCTCACAGGGATTTTCTCTGTATTATAACAGATTTTTAAATGACTGATTTATGTTCCTTTTTTTCTTCTTCTTCTATTGCCTTCCCAAGTAATGTGCTTAATACAAACGATCTTACTTTGGGTCTCTCACGATGTACAAAGTTTCAACAGCTTAACTAGCTCCTGACATCTAACTCCTGACTGCATGGACGTTAAGTGTGGACTGAGGTGAGACCATCAAATTCAACTCACTTTAGACACATTAGGCAGAAAGAGAAGTCACTGTAAACACCCCTGACTTTTTGTTAATAAGGAATTTAATCTTTCAAGATATCCTCTTTCACCTGTACTCTGTTCTTTTACAAACAAATATCTTAATCAGTTTATTTCTTTTTTTAACAAAGCATGCTGCTTCCATCACCCCCCTGAAATATCAGTCACCATTCTTTTAATCAAAACAATGATTCATGGTCAGACTACTTTTTTGCTGATAGCTATAGCTTTAATTCTCTGACTACTCACATAAGAAAAAGCCCTTCTCCCCAGCAATGGAAACTATTCAAAAACATACCAGATTCCTAGTATAAATTCTCAAACCATTCAATGTTTTGCTAACCTGGAAAGCTGCATACATATTCTCAACTCACATTTGAAATACCCTTTTCCATCTCATTTAAATACTGTGAAACTTTGAAGCCCTTAGACTATGAGTTTCCACTTGACCGTGAACAAACCTCTTTAATCAAAATTAAGTCACCTTTGCCTTGCAGACTCTTTTAAATATATTAAGGGTAAAGAGGCTAGACAGTGTGTTTGCTCCCTTCTCTCCTCCACGCCTTATTTCTAACCTTTTTTGCAAGATTCAGAAGACCATCTGATCAGAAATATTTCAAACAGTTCACATGAACCTGTCTACAAATCTTATTCTCCTGAGACAACATTTCCATTATGGGACACTTATCTCTAAAGTAAGGCTTTTACTGACATTACAAATGGACTGACTTGCTGCACTGCAGAATGTCAGTTTACTCAGTTAGAACTTTCAATGCAGAAATTCAGCATGATGCAGTCCCCCAGATAAAGCAGCACTTACCTTAATTGAAATCCTCTCTCTGATATAGCAAAGACATCAGTCAAATCAGTGGTGATTTGGGGGCAATCTAAGTTTTCAATCAACACCATCCAGGTAGCTGCATACTGTACAGCCTTTTTTCGTTTGTGTTGAACTCCTCAATGTCTAAAGGAGAGAGAGAGAGATAAGCTGAAATCCTCAGAGGTTCCCCGTGAGTGAGAGAAAGAATACCAAAGCAATGTTCCTTAACATGTGATTCTCAGCAAACGTGCTCAGGTCTGGAAGATCCTATTGCTGCTGTGATAGGCTCATGTCATGTCCCTGGAGCACTGGGATGATCATTGACCTGATTAGCACTGAACACTCCCTACATGCAGAGAAAGCACTGAGAGGATTGGTGAGTTGCAAGGGAATTGGGAAAGGTACCAGGGCCACTTGGGAATCTTTTATCTTCCAGACTAATGGAATGTGCTGCAGCTGAGGCTGTAATTTGCAAAGAGGTTATGCACAATGTTAACCACCTAAGGACTTAAACAAATGTACTTCTGCATGCTGTTTCTCAAGGTGCAACCATGTTCAACATAAGATACACCTGAGTAATTAAGAGTCTGAGGTTGCTTTTTTGTAATATGAGGATCACTGTATATAATGTTCTGTAATCTGGGAGATAAAGTAGATTCAGACACTTGCCCATGACCCTGGAGAACAGAACACAGTTCTAGCCTACTGTAAATGAAATGAGTTTGATGGGCTTGTGTTAACCCCCAGATGGCAATTGCCTGTGTGAGAAAAAGGCAGGATAGACATAGTAAATAATCATATTTGACAGTTTAAATAAAACAGATTAAGAATGCTGAATTACCCTTTCATTCAAGAATGGCCTCTTTAAAGAAACAAAGTGCAAAAAGGCACATTCACTTCCACTAGAATAGCATAGGAAGCAAACAAAATATAAAACAACAAAACATTTAAAAAGCTTGGTTTGTCTCCCATGCTGGTTCAGAGGGGAAGTGAGGGCAGCTATACAAAATATGTATCTATATATAACAAAAAGAACAAAGAGGAGGATGATAGCAATGAATATAAATCAGAAGCTAGGAATGATAGAAAATTGATATGGGAAACAAAGAGACAGGAGGAGAAATCTATCACCAGCAGAGTAAAGGACAGATGGATGGATATGCACTCATACCACACAGTGTTTAAAGAATCCTAAGAGGACAACTTGTCCATTATTAGATGGAAATGGTAGTATTATCAGTAATAATGAAGAAAAGGCAGGAGTGATAAATAAATATTTTTGGTTTACATTTGCAGAAAAAATATGCAATCATATTGCATGATTATAACACTTTTGTCACTTTTGCCACTGGTGCCAAAGGAGGATACTAAACAAAAGCTACTAAAGTCAGAGTTTTTAAAACCAGCAAATCCAAATAACTCAGATCCAAGAGTTTATAAGAGCTGGCTAAGGAGTTCATTGGACAATAAATACTATTTTGCAGTAAATCTTAGAACATTGAGGAAATTCCATGAAAGCTACTGTTACACCAATATTTAAAATTACCCTGGTGACATGGGTAATTATAGCAATGCCAATCTGAATCAATCTTGTGAAAGTTAATTCAACAGCTCACATGAGACCAGATTAATAATGAATTAGAGAAGGGTAATGTAATTAATACCAATCAATATGGGTCTTTTGAAATTAGATCTTGTTGAACTAAGGTCATATCTTTTTATGAGATTACATATTTGGTTGATAAAGGTAATAATATTGATATTATATAATTGAGTTCTACAAAGTGCTTGACTTAGTAAGCAACAACATTTTGACTAAAACACTAAAATGATATACAGTAAACATCATATACTCTTTAAATGAATTAAAAATTATCTAACTAATTGGGCCCCAAAATAATTGTACATTACACTGCACTATTTAACACTTTTATCAGTGACCTGGAGGAGAACATGTAATCATCACTGATAAAGTTAGCAGGTGACACAAGAATTGGGGGCGTGGTAATGAAGAGGACAGGTCACTGATACGGAGGACACTCAATAATACACTTTTGATGTAGCCAACTGTATGTGTATATAAGTAGGAAAAATTAATGTAGCCTTTAGTTATAGGACAGGGAATGCTTTCCTGAGAAGTTGTAATTCTGAAAAACACCGTGTTCAGTTCAGCTGTCCAAAATTCAAAAAGGATATTGATACATTTGAGATAGTTCAGAGAAGAGCCACAAAAATGATTAAATAATTGTACAACATGCCATATAGTACTAGATTCAAAGAGCTTAATTCATTTTGCTGAACAAAGAGATGTTTATGGAATGATTGATTACATTCTATAATTACCTGCATGGGGAATAAGTATATAAGAGACTAAGGTATAACATGACTAAGGTATAACATGATCTAATGGCTTGAGACTGAAGTTAGACAAATTAAGATTGGAGAAAAGTCAAACATTTTTATCGGTGAAGGTAATTAGCTATTGGAACAAATTACCAGCAGTTGAGGTGGATTCTCCATTATTAGAAATTTTAAAATCAAGATTGGATGGAATCATGCTGGGGGAGCTGCATGGCCTGTGATATACAGCTGAAGAGACTAGATGATCACAATCATATTCTGGTCTTGGAAATCTGTGCATCTGTGAAAAGTTACTGTTTTAAATAGGTGGAAATCTAGTGTAAGGAGAATCAGGCCCATTACTCTGTTGTTCTTTTATTGTACAACATTCTACTAATTTAATTTAATAATTTAAAAATACCAATGAAAAACACTAGAATGATGGACAGAAATTGTCCAGATCATGGTGGTCTGTCATATTGCTTCACATACATGAACTTTGGTGACCACAGTCCCCTGTTAAGTGCTTGCTTCTTGGATGATCTTTGTGGTGCTAGTTAACTGACAGTATTTTCCCCTGGGATTTATCTTTGGAAGCACCAGCTCACTAAAAAGAGACGAGTTCAAAGAACATCTTCATTGTCACTGGCTGCCAGATGACAGAACACCATATGGAAATATCTCTATGGTTTAAGAAGGTCAGTATAATTATCTGGGAAGTATAGGCCTGGAATAGCAATAAACTGTTCTGGAAAAGGGTTGAACAATGAAGTAGTTACATTTGAAAACACTAAAATATTTAAGTTAGTCATAATTAAAGTAGACTGTGAGAAACTCCACTGGGACTTATTGTTAAGTTGGACAACTGGGCAGCTGAAAATTCCATGTGAAATTCATTGCTCAGAAATGGAAAATAATGCACTTTGGAAGTAAATCTGAACCACTCGGACATATGGCTGAGATCTAAATCTTCTAGGGGCACAGAGTACAGGTCAGAAGACTGGAAGTCAGGAAACAGTGGATCTGCCACTAAACTGGCATGTGGATAAGTTACTTCACCATGAGGGCAGGGGACTGGACTCGATGATCTCTCAAGGTCCCTTCCAGTTCTAGTGTTCTATGATTTTTTTCTGTGTCTCTGGTTTCCCATCTTTGTTAAGAGGAAGTGTAATTTATCTTTCTTTGTACATCACTTTGAGATTTATGCATGACAAGCACTGGAAAAATGCAAAGTAGTACACTGTAGTAGTATTAAACTAAATATAACTGCTCAAGAAAAAAGATCCTATGGTAGCATTGTTCAATAAATTCATTTTTTGTTCAAAAGTACAGAGAAAACATATGGATGTATAAAAGAACAGTGTGAAAAATAATAGTGACAATGTTATAGTATTATATATAACTGATGGCACACCTTTACCTAGAATACTGGTTTCAATTCTGGTTACTCATCAGAAAACAAAAAAACAGTAGAAATAGAGTCTGGAGGAAAAGAACATCAGAGGAAAGCAAAAACTTCCACAAGAGCAGAGAGTATAAATATATATACTGTAATAAAAATGGTATATATTAAAAAGTGGGCATTCTTTTTTTACCATTTGTTTTAATTACAGTAACAATTGGATAGTAAATTAAAATTAAAGGAAACAATTATAAAAAGAGAAAATGAACTACATTTTTACATAATCCATAATTAACCTTTGAAGCTTACTGTCATAAAATATCACTGAGACCAAGAATTTAGCAGAACTCAAATAAGGATTAAACATTTATATAGCTAATGAAAATATTTATATTAGCATTAAAATGTATAAAAAGATAATAAGAATGTAACATGGGAATGGCCCAACTCAGTCAGCCTCTATCCCAATCTCCTGTCCTCCAACAGTGGCCAGAGCCAGAAGCTTCAGAGGGAATGAAGAGAGAAGGTCAATTAAGGGTATAAACCAACTATTAAGGCTATGTCTAAACTACACCCCTCTGTTGGCAGAGGGATGTAAATTAGACATATTGAAAGTGCAAATGAAGCCAGGATTTAAATATCCCACACTTCATTTGCATAATAGTGGCCGCTGCTTTTTTTTGAAATGGGCTTTAAAAAAACCCGGCAATTTAGACAGGGCATTTTTGACAGAAATGCTCAGTTTTGAAAGATCCTGTACTCTTCATTTTTATGAGGAGTTGAAAATGCCCCATCTAAACTGCCGGTTTTTTTCGAAAAGCCCCGTTCCGAAAAATGTGGCAGCCACCATTAGGCAAATGAAGAGCAGGATATTTAAATCCCGGCTTCATTTGCACTTTCAATATGTCTAATTTACATCCCTCTGCCAACAGAGGGGTGTAGTTTAGACATAGCCTTAATAGTTGGTTTATACCCTTAATTGACCTTCTCTCTTCATTCCCTCTGAAGCTTTATGCGGCGCCCCAGAGGTGTGTGTTAATTGCGTCAGTTTGAGGTGATTCTCAATTATGCTTTTGAAGGCTTTTCAGTTTGTCAACCTCACGGAGCCCCTGGAGATGTCTTGCGGAGCCCTGGGGCTCCGCAGAGCACAGTTTGGGTACATCTAGATTACAGGCTTTTGTCGACAGAAGTTTTGTCGACAGATACTGTTAACAAAGCTTCTGTAGACAAAGAGCGTCTAGATTACATCCAGTTCTGTCAACAAAGCAAGCCGCTTTGTCGACATGACAGCGTAAATGCAATAACGCCTTCTGTCGACAGAACTCAGCGGCAGTGTAGTTTTGTCGACAAAAGCCTACTTTTGTCGACAAAACCCTGTAGTCTAGACTCGCCCTTTGAGAAA